GGGGTTACTCCGTGGATCAGGATTTCTTGCAACAACAACAACAGCAAGCCTTAATCCCAACTTAATTGGGGTCGACTATATGGATTTCACTTTTCCACGCAGCTCTGTTCGAAATTATAGAAAATCTAACATGAGCACAAACAATCGTAGCATACTAAAGAAAGAATGACATATCCATGCAGAGATAACTCAGTCATATCAATCTTACCACTCTAAGCACTCAAATTAAGCAATCTTAAACTTAACTGCAATTTACATGTCAAGTTAGCAGAAAGTCATATTACTATCAAAATTATACTTCTTCTATGGAATTACTGCCCGTTGAAAATGTAAACGAGTGATTGGCTGCATTGGATAGTATTTCTACATTCCTAAGACCGAAAGTATGTTTCAGAATAATCAAACTTCGTCATTTATTCCCCCATAAAAAAAAATAAAAAAATTTAATAATTTACTCTTATAATAGCTAAGTACCTGAATTATTGCCAGAGCAATTCTATAAAGCATGATATCAGTACTATTATCACGGACAATTTGCACTTGCTCTCCAAGGATCCTGAACAAATCAACAGCAGCCGGGGTATAAAGCTTTCCGTCTTCATGTTTCTTTGGTGGGTGTATCTTATCCGCGTCTAGGATATTCAAGTACCATTTCTAGAAATAAAGCAAGGAATTAATTGTAGAAAACAAAACTTACCAAATCAAAACAGAAATAGTTATTAATATAGTGTTACCCTTGTTGTAGCTTGCATTCTCTCAACATAGGAATTCATTAGGGGGTCCATTGCACCACTCTCTGAACAAACTTGAGCCAGAGACTCATCAACTCCGAGTCCAATAAGATTATCTTGGTATTCTACGACCCAGCCAGTTACCTAGTTTAAAATATTAAGAGATTGAAGCATTAACCAAGAAAACTATGATACATAAAATTGAAGGACTAAAATAATAACAAGTGCTTTGTGTATTCGAATTTCAAGTAAAATTCTATTTTTTTTTTTAGCCCGAATAAAAGCCAAAACAGAATTTGAGTCTAATAGGTTTAGCCAAAATCTTAAATACAAAGCAATGTTCTACATTTGGTTGAAACAATCAACCAGTGCACTGTAAGTCGTTATTATTTCATTTAGCAAGCTAGCATAGGTTTCTCTTACAAGGGACAATACAATCTTTAATTATGAGAATCACATTTTGATAAGCACAAAAAATAGAAAAAATACCTTCAATATCTCTATGTTGGTCAACTCATTTGCCCTGTCACTGAGTAATCTAAGCATTTGAATAAACCTTTCGGTGTATAGATTCACCATAAGTTGGAATATCTCATATCTGCAGCAGTGGAAAAATTAGGAGAAGATAAATTGATGTAAGATCAATATAAGAAAGAGAATAGAGATAGAAGAAGCTTCAGGATAGAGAAGAAAAGCCACTATAGAGAGAAAAAGACAACGTTTTGCAGCACAAAAAAGAAATGCAATGCTCAAAGCTAAAACAAAACCAAACAAAATTATGTGCAAACCTTGGGGGGAAACAAGGTGCCACATAGTCATAAATATCTCCAAGCTCTTCTCCAATCTAAAACATCAATAAGAGAAAATGATTAAAGAAACTACTAGCTTTAAAATACGGAACAAGTAATTCAACTACTGATGTAAGAGGACTAATTTCTTTCCTTTTAGAAAATTTGACTTAACAACAATATTAGAACTTGGAAGTGCATCTTAATGGGAAAAATGCAAACTACAACACATTAACGAAACAAGCGAAGATCCACAAAACAATCTTAAAGCATTTATATTTGATATCTACATAGTAATTTCGCAACTTATTTTTGGAAAAGAAGCAACTTTATTGAAAGAAAAGAAAGAAAATGATACAGAAAAACAAAGACGTCAAGCAGCCTTCGAATATGGATCTGAAAGCCACAATTTAAACTTGGATTCATAAATCAATTATCTTACAAAGATGATGAACATCGACCATCTAAATTGTGTAAATGCGAACATCTTGAAAACCTGTTTAAACCATCTAGCAAACAAAGCTAAGAATTGGATTTCTCTCACCTTAATGTGCCATCTATCTACTTTTTGCATTAAGTATACGATAATAACTTTTACTCCTGAATATGACCTTTGACGTTTTCCTTTTATTCTTTATTCTTTATTATGTAGAATAGGAATTGCGAATTACTTTTAATTTGCAAGTTTGTGTTCGAGAACATTATTGGAAAAAATAAGGTGGGATGATGGTCTAATGTTTTTTGTTTTAGGTTTAAAAATAAAAATCGGAAAAGCATTTATACTCTGAACTAATTTTAATTGATGAAAAAAAAAAGCACTATAACTCAGACAACGAGATGGTAATTCTCAACGAGTAACAAAGATATATAAAGACAAATCTAGAAGAACACAGATCAGTTGTAAGTACCGTTCGAGCTTCCTCTAATGCTGCTTTAAGGTCCTTCAAAACAAGCTGATCCATGTATCAAAGATGAAGCAAGATATATTATTTCAGAGGTTAAAAATATGCATTTCATCTCTGTGCGGACCACTAAATAATAAAATACCTCTGTAAGAAGCTTGTTAAATCGACCTTCAACTGTCTTTCGAATTTGTTCATAGCATTTGTCTTTATAGCCTTTGCCCTGAACCTTCAACTTCTGCTGGCTTAGATTTCTTGAAGAAGCCACTGCATTGGTAGACTTTCTGTGGGTTGGAAAAAAGGATGAAAAGAAAAAATCATGACACAAGCACCAAGAAGATAGCCAATACATCAAATTGAAAACCACTTCAGAATAGCTACTTGGCAGTTCTATGAGGATTTGCAATTGCAGCCATAGCACCACCTCCCTCAGCCTCAGCTGCTTCCTCCGCAAGTTGTTGATCAAGAATTTCTTGCATTTCAACGACCCTAGAAGAGAAATGAAAAGAAACAACATTTACGAACAATCACACCAGGACAAGAGTGGATTAAACGAGGGACTCATGAAAAAGAAAAAAATTATTTCGTAGCATCATTTATCTAACTTGAATTGTCATATGAAACCTATTTTGTATGCATAACATAAGGTTTGGCACAAACCATAATACATCAAGATAACAAATGACATTGCCACTCATAAAAATGAGTAGAAGAAAAATGAAGGGTTGAAGTTTTAACTTGACTTAATTATACTTGTAAGAAATTCTCTACGCAAATACAGTTGAACAAGTTTTATACATAGTAGAACATGTTTTACCCAACTAAGAAAAAAGGAAAGCTTCTGTGAAAAAATGGGGTAAGGAAAACAACACCGTACATCATATGAATTTAAAAGCAAGAAACGTTTCTCAGCACTTACCTCAAAGCACGAACTAGAGTTTGTGGGCTGCAAAACAAAATAGACATATTACTTAACACAAGATGAGCACTAAAATGATCGGGACCCATACAAGGCATCTAAGGCATATAATTTTTCATTTATTCAATAAGAAACAGAATAGTGCATTTACTTGAAAGAAAGAGTACCCAACAAAAAAAAGGAAGAGGAACAAGAAGAATAAGAGAAAGGTAAGTCCTCGACCAAGAGAGAAACACACAATAACCTCGACAAAAAGATTCCCAATCTAAAAAATAAAACATCCTTAAAGCAGTAATTTTTTTTCTGAAGCAATTTTACATGCAAGTCCATGACGATAGAAAATAGGTAAAAGAACCAAAAAACAAAAAGAGGAAAACTAAAAACAATAATAATACTCATTCCCACAAAATCATGACAACAGGACAAACAAGTGAAAGACACAACTGAAAGAGAGAGAGAGAGTACAAGTAGCACCTTCATGCATTATTCTAATAGCATTTTTTATTTTTAAAATCAGTCTCCAAAAGATACAATGCTATTTAATGCTTTCTCAGGTCATTTAAGATTTTACCTTTCTTTAGAAAGCTTATAGAAGTTGGAAATATGACCCCACAATGTCTTCTCAAACGTTTCCCATGTCTGATCAACGTCTTCAAAATATTCCCTGAGAAACATTCAGATTAGAAGATGAAATGGAATGAGTTGTCAAGCTTCACTACAACTGTTACTGGAAAGAATAGGATAAGATTCAACAGTGAAGCTTGAACTTTAGATCACTATTTGTGTCCGACTATCGTCCATAAAGAAAAATCAGCTCTAATCTTTTCACTCCATTTTGAGATTACGAAAAAAATAGTACATATATTAATCATTCCCTTTTTTTTCTCCTTTACTCTTCTAGTAATCTGGGAAAAAAAATATAATCCTTTTATGTTTTGATACACTACTTTCTATATATTTTGAACAAAAATCTAGTGTCTCTTATCGTAGTTTCCAGTTCATTCTGTTAAAATCCCGAATTTATGGTTAGGGATAATGTTAGTTATTATTAGGGATAATGTTCCCTATTCAGAATAGATTGTTTCCTGATTTGATTTTCATAGTTGTATTATAAATTAGGAACCCTAGTGTACCGAATTATTCATTCAATATAGAAAATAGAAAGCAATATTCCAGCTTTCATGGTATCAGAGCCGAGGAGTGTCTAACCTTGGCAATCGATGGCAAAGTCCACGCCTTCAGAGACCACGGGCGAGACGACGACAGAGGTCATCAACACCATGGCGTCGAACAGATCTGAGAACTCTACCTTCCAATTCACGGTTGAGAAACTCAACGGGAAGAATTTTCTCGAATGGGCTCAATCAATCAAATTGGTGATCGATGGAAAAGGCAAACTGGGGTACCTCACCGGTGAAACAAAGAAACCATCCTCCACTGATGCTTCTTTGCAGAAGTGGAAATCAGAGAATTCAATGGTAACCGCGTGGCTGGTCAACTCTATGAAGCCTTCAATCGGAAAAACCTATATGTTCCTACCAACCGCAAAAGAAGTCTGGGATGCAGTCCGAGAAACATACTCGGATGTGGAGAACTCTTCCTAAATCTTCGAAATAAAAACTCAGTTATGGCAGATGAAGCAAGAAGAGGGAAGTCACCGAATATTACACAGAGATGAAGGCTCTTTGGCAGGAACTCGATCTGAGTTATGAAGAAGAATGGGAATGCCCTGGCGATAGCGTGCGATTCAAGAAAAGGCTAGAGAACGAGAGTTTTTGAGTTTCTGGCTGGACTTAACCGTGAGCTAGATGAGGTAAGAGGAAGGATCCTTGGTCGGGGACCGCTGCCCTCAATCCGTGAAGTCTTCTCAGAGGTGAGACAAGAAGAAAATAGGCGCAAGGTAATGCTGAGAACCCTGTCAGTAGCGCAGAAGATTCTGGTCCAGAACCAGTCGGTCCAGAGGGGACAGCTTAAAACTGCAATTTGTGATTCTGCATCTACTTCTAGGAATAGTGAAATTATGTTATGGCATCTTAGAATGGGTCATCCCAGTTTTCCATACATGAAACATTTGTTTCCTTCTATTTGCTCCAATAAAGATATTTCCGTTTTCCAATGTGAAATTTGTCAGTTTGCTAAGCATCAACGTACTTCATTCAAAAAATCAAAGTATAAACCCTCGAAACCATTTACCATGATTCACAGTGACCTATGGGGTCCTTCTCGTATCTCTACTCGTATTCACACAAAATGGTTCGTCACGTTTATTGATGATCATAGTAGAACTTGTAGGGTCTACCTTCTGAAAGAAAAAACGGATGTCCGTGGAGTATTAAAAAAATTTTACTCCATGGTTCAAACGCAATTTCAAACTCAAATTCAGATTTTGCGAACAGATAATGAGACAGAGTATTTTAACACTATCTTAGGGGATTTTCTAATGGAAAAAGGCATAATTCACCAAAGTTCCTGTGTCGACACTCCCCAACAAAATGGGGTAGCCGAACGGAAAAATAAACACTTGCTTGAGGTTGCCCGAGCATTGATGTTCACTGCCCATATGCCTAAAATGTTCTGGGGAGATGCTATCTTAGCATCTGCCTATCTTATCAATAGGATGTCTAGTCGAGTCCTCTCCTTTGAAACTCCACTCAATACTCTAAAGAAAGCCTTTCCCACTTCACACCTACCCTCAACTTTACCCCTCAAGGTGTTTGGCTGCACCGCATTTGTTCACATCCACTCTCAGCATTGGAGTAAATTAGATCCTAGAGCTACTAAGTGTGTCCTCATTGGCTATTCCCCTACACAAAAGGGCTACAAATGCTTTGACCCCTCCACAAAGAGGGTGTTCATTAGTCTTGATGTTAGCTTCTTTGAAAACACTTCGTTCTTCCACAAAACTTCTCTTCAGGGGGAGATCTCTAATGAAGATCGTTTTGTGGACTCTTAACTTCTTCCTTCTGAGTCTATCGTAAACACTAAAAACACCACCACCTTTCCTTCTCATTCTAATATGCCATATACAGAAGGACACTTGAACTCAGGGGGAGATGTGGGAAAGCAAAAGAACAGGGAGCTGCTTGTCTACTCAAGAAGGCCAAAGTCAAAATATCAAGACAACCTCACTTCCGAAGCACCAAGAGAATCCAACCCGGTGATAGATCCAAGTATGACCGAGACCATCTCAGAAGAAGGTATCTCTAATACCCTTGAAATCCCGGATATTAATATTCCCATAGCTCACAGAAAAAAACCACGGTCATGTACACTTCATCCCATCTCCAAGTTTGTGTCACAAGAAAACTTGTCTAATGGTTTCCAAGCCTTTGTCTCTAATCTCAACAACACAGAAATTCCAAAGAATGTGCAAGAGGCACTAGCCATTCCGGAGTGGAGAAATGTTGTCATGGAGGAAATGAAAGCTTTGAAGAAAAATGAGACGTGGGATGTAATAGAGCTGTAATAGAGCTGCCGAGAGGGAAGAAAACAGTGGGCTGCAAGTGGGTATTTACCCTCAAATACAAAGCGGATGGAACAGTAGAACGATACAAAGCTCGACTTGTCGTCAAGGGTTTCACACAAACTTATGGCATCGACTACACCGAGACATTCGCTCCTGTGGCAAAGCTAAACACGGTTCGGGTTCTTCTATCCTTGGCATCTAATCTGGATTGGCCCCTTCTGCAACTCGACATCAAAGAATGCCTTCCTGTACGGAGAATTAGAAGAAGAGGTCTATATGGACATGCCACCAGGATTCAGCAAAGGGCAGGAAGACAAGCGGGTGTGTAAACTCAAGAGATCACTTTACGGCCTTAAGCAGTCCCCAAGAGCATGGTTCGACAGATTTGCAAAAGTGATCAAGGATCAAGGATATTTACAGGGTCAATCCGATCATACCATGTTCTTCAAACAAGCCAAAGATGGGAAGAGGGCGATCCTAATAGTCTATGTGGATGATATAATCCTTACCGGTGATAATATAGCAGAAATGGAGAGGTTGAATAGTATTCTTGCTACGGAGTTTGAAGTGAAAGATTTGGGGCAAATGAGGTATTTTTTGGGAATGGAAGTTGCTAGGTCAAAGAACGGAATCAATCTCTCCCAGAGGAAATATGTCATTGATCTTCTCACAGAAACAGGTATGCTTGGATGCAAACCAAGTGACACCCCGATTGAAACAGGGAAGAAGATGGTAGACGATGGAAAGTTGGTTGATAAAGACAGATATCAAAGACTAGTAAGCAAGCTAATATACTTGTTCCATACTAGACCTGATATTGCATTTGCAGTTAGTGTGGCTAGCCAACATATGCACTCGCCAAAGGAAGCTCACTTGGAGGCAGCATACAAGATACTTAGGTATCTCAAAGGATCACTTGGCAGAGGATTATTTTTCAAAAGGACTGGCTGCAGAGGGATAGAAGTCTATACCGATGCAGACTGGGCAGGTTCAATTGAAGATAGGAAATCTACTTCTGGATATTGTACGTTTGTATGGGGGAATCTAGTCACCTGGAGGAGCAAGAAGCAAAATGTGGTGGCTAGGAGCAGTGCTGAGGCGGAATTTAGAGCAGTTGCCCAAGGAATATGTGAAGCACTATGGCTGAGGAAACTACTAGAGGAGCTCCAAATTACAGTAGAATTCCCGGTTAAACTCTGCTGTGATAACAAAGCGGCAATTAGTATATCACTCAATCCAGTCCAACATGACCGAACCAAGCATGTAGAAGTGGATAGACATTTCATTAAAGAAAAGGTGGAGAAGGGAATCATTTGTATGACCTATGTTCCTACTCAAGATCAAGTTGCAGACATCTTCACCAAAGGACTCGCAAGACAAAAATTCGATGACTTCTTAAGCAAGTTGGAAATGATTAACATATATGATCCAACTTGAGGGGGAGTGTTAAAATCCAGAATTTATGGTTAGGGATAATGTTAGTTATTATTAGGGATAATGTTCCCTATTCAGGATAGATTGTTTCCTGATTTAATTTTCATAGTTGTATTATAAATTAGGAACCCTAGTGTACCGAATTATTCATTCAATATAGAAAATAGAAAGCAATATTCCAGCTTTCACATTCTTTTACAGTAGTTGAATTATAACTTGTAAGAGCATAAAATGCCACCAGAAAAATAGAGTAAAGAACACCTTAGTCTGCCAACTTCTTCCTTGTGTGATGCTGCAGCTGCTAATGCAAATCTCCGCTTTCCATCAAGAGCAGTTAACCTCTATGACAAATCAATGACGGTGAGAAAGACCAGACTCAATATAGACAATGTAATGACGTAATTTATCAACTTCATTGTGCATCAGTAAGTAAATTTAGACGATAAGCAACAGGCGCCAAAAAACAAACAAAAACAAAAACAAAACAGAGAGAGAGAGAGAGAGAGAGAGAGAGAGAGAGAAGGAGAGAGAGACTATGGCCTAAAGAGAATAAGCAAACAAGCAAAATAGTTACAGGTAAAACTAGTTTACCTCATAAGTGTTGACAAGTTCTTTGTCATCACTCAATGAGTCCCGTGCCTCAGCTGCTTCAACAGAAATAGACATCATACCTTCGACATCCTATTATAAGTCAAAAAATTAGTTGGAGAACAGATTCAACAGAACAAGCATAGAGACAAGAAGTCGATTAAAAGAATTAAGAGTCCCTTATCCGTCACATATCTTGATTATACCTCATACTAGCAAATCACAACAAATTACAAAGAAACCACATACCGACCAGTAAGAAACTGGTCAAACAATATCACATTTCCTACCATAAAACTAATAGCAAAAAATTTCCTGACTGAACTGATAATAAGATTAGGCTTCGTCACATTACAGTTTTTTCAGTATAGCAGTTTTTTTTTTTTTTGGATAACTTAGGGTATCCAGGCCTCTTTGAGCACCTGACTAATCCCTAAGGGTGTGTGTACAATGAAGAATTTTACAGAGTATACAAAGTATATAATGAAGAAAGAATTTTACAGAGTATGCAATGAGCACCTGATTATAGCAGAATTTTACAGAGTATACAATGAAGAAAGAAAATAAGCATGAAACAGAAAACATCAGCATATCGAGATTTCATATAATGCAGATGCAACTGAAACAAACACATGCACATAGGAGCGCGCCCACCAACTCACATGCAGAGTGAACAAACAAACTAATACAATGTAAAGCAAACTGACCTTTAGTGTAGTATTTAAGTTGTTCCTCGCATTGCTAAGCAGCTTTATCTGATCGTGGTTATCGATTAAATTTTGGCATTCTTGACATAACCTGACAGACCCAACAATTAAGTCATCCAAAAGGGCTACGCATGCAAATAGTGTATCAAAGCATAGCCTATAACATTGAATTCTTAGCAATAGAAAACATCCTAAACTTGTATACATTGCATCAAAACGTACTTTTCAATGGAAAGAAAGTTATCACGAAGATGGTTTATTGTCTTCTCCGAAAAGGCTAGTGACTCAAGACCAGCTTGCGCCTGTTCAACCTGTTGCCGAAAAGAATTGTATACTTACTAAACAACTAAAAATGTGAGACTACTAGTACTATAGATACATATATATAACCATACTCACACATTAATATGTATATGTATAAACACACACGCATATATATCTGAAGCTTAGATTTCTATGTTTAAATACGCACCTGCTCTGCAACCATTGTACTAAGCTGTGCATCATTTGCCTGAGAATAAGAATAATAACTTACAGATCATCTCCAACATAAATGTCAATCCCAATGCTATATTAGGGCAAATATAGTACAAAAATAGCACATTTGATATGTTCTTCCATTTCATACTCCAATATATCTAGTATTTGTCACATATTTTTGAGCTTCGAAATTATAAAGGAAAGATTCAATTTTTGCTAAATTTTGACATGAACATAGAAATTTGGCACTGGATCAGTTATCTCCAAAAATCTCGACCATTACAAAACGTAATTACAAAAAATAAATAAATAAATAAATAATAAAAATAAACAAAATTGGTAGAGGCAAAAACCATACCTGCTGGCGAGTGATGTAATCGGCCTTAATGGAAGCGATGGATTGTAGGAGCTCCGGCAGCGGCAAGAGCTTCGCGACTTCACGGACCGCCGCTTCCTTGGCTTCGACGCCGAGATCCTCCACCATCATCTTGTACGGAAATCACCTCAAAAACCTTTACTTTGCGCGCAGAATCTATGATTGCGCGAGAGATTTTGGGACCAAATTCAGGAAGAAAAATTTGTGATTTGGAAGCTCCATTATTCCATTTGGACTGGGAAATGGAGCGAGATTGAGATATCAACAATCAAGTTATGGAAAAAAATTTTCGATGGAAGCGAAAGTTAATACCAAATACCGACCGTGTTTTGATCTTTTCTTCGCGGCCAGGTTGGGGGCAGTAAAATTAACGGAAATAGAATAAAATATGCCAATATAAAAAATTTAAAAAGTATATAGACTAATTTTTAGTTATAAAAATTAATAGATCATAACTTATTAAGTTATGGTTCATAATCAGATAAGTTATGGATAAACTTGTCAAGTTATGGTTCATAACCAGACAAGTTATGGATAAAAACAGTAATTTTGCTTATTTATTAACTTATGTAAACTATTGGCCTATTAATTTTAATTCATCTCAAGTCTTGGCATATTTCTCTCTTTCTCCCTAAAATTAAATTGGTTAAGGTTTATAATTAGGCCTGTTTAATTCGTTGATTTAAATTTTTAATTGGAGTTAATATGTAATTTTATGTAAGAATTTTATAATAAAAAAGTATATAATTATTTTTGATAATTTTTTACTGTAATAAAATCAAATTTTAAATTAAAATTAATGAAATAAATAGGACTTTAATAATCAGTGTATTTACACTAAATTAATATTTTAAAAATACCTCTAATTAAGAAAATAAGAAATGAATTTCTAAAATTCACCTGTCTCATCCACGCTCTCTATATCCTCGCTCTCAACACTTATAATTCAGGATTTATAAATAAACATAATATATGTCTTAATGATAAATTTTAAATTTATCGTGTAAATTCAAGATTTACGAATAAATAAAAATTATGTAATGTTAGTAAATATTGAATTTACTGTAAGTCCAAAATTTACAAATAACACAATCTTAAATTATCGTGTAAATCTATAATTTATAAAGAACAAAAATTATGTTATGATGATAAATTCTAAAGTTACAAGCAAAATTAAAATCACTTATATCATTTACACTTTTAAATTTGTAATTCGCGATTTTTTATGACGGCGATTGGAGGAAATAACAGCAGGCAATGAGAGAGAGGTGATGAGAGAGAATAGCATACTCGTGAATGACAAATAGAAAGAGAAGAGAGAATAAAATCTGGAATGATGAGAAAAAATAAAAAATAAAAAATAAAAAATAAAAAAAATAAAAAAAGTAAATTAGAAAATGAAAAATTCAAAACATACATAATCTCTGTACATTAGTAAAGGTTATTTACTAACATAAATTTAAATATAAGCCTATTTTCTACAATTTCACTTCTTCATTTTGGAGTTTCTTTAGAAACAATGGCGATGTAGAGATTGATATTATTTGAATACTAATTACATTCGACAAAACGATCCTCAAATTCTGTAAACCTTTGCGGGTTAAATTAGGGATGGCACGAGATAGTTTTGGGAGGCTGGTCTTCCTACCAACCAACCCTGCGAACAAAAACATTTACCATCCATGCCCCACTGACCCGTATAAGTTGACGGGGTACGTAACGGGTGAGGTTCGAAATACTTGTGAACCCCATTTACTAGATTTGTTATTTTCATTGTAAAATAAATAATCGATATAATCATAAGCATTATGTTAAAAATAAAAGAAAGGTAGTTTTAAATTTTCATACATAATATTGTAATTTATTATACTTACATATTATTGAAATTATTTTTATTTAAAATTATATATTATAGTATACTATACATAAATAATTATGTTCTTTTCTCTAGGGTTTTCTCCTTTTTTTTTTTTGGCAATAGATCTTAAAATGATTCGGGAAATTTGTCTTTTAATTTTTTAATGAAAATGATTGAATGTGATTTTCTTGAGAAATTTGACAGGAATAGACAAGAAAGTTTTAATTGTTAATATCAAAATAATTTGAGATTAGTTTGTCAAAATTAAAAGAACAAGACTAAAATTATTATCTATTAATATAAACGTTTCTTTAGGCTTATTTAGCCCAAAAGGTGCTTTTGACACTTTTTGGATAGACAGCAAAAAAGTGCGTTTGATTTTTATAAAGCTGTTTTGGGACAAACAATCTTCTAGATGTTTAAAAAAAAAAAAAACTTATAAAAGGTTTTTTAATTCACCTTTTTAAGAACAAAAAAATTAAAAGTTCCATTCATATCCTTTAATTACATTACATTTTGTAACAATAAGAATTTTTGACTTATTTATCAAACATGTTTAAAAACTCTTCTAAAACAGAAAGATTATTTTCCATATACTAATCAAACACAAATTAAAAAGTCTTACCCCATGCTTCTCTTCTTCTATTGTTTAAAAGTAAAAGCACAAACTCTTATAAATGGCCCTAGAGAAGAAAAATAGAAAAAAGCCAAAAATACCATTAAAATAATAAAAAAATATTATTTATGCTATTTTAATAAAAAATAAACAATTGTAATTTAATTAATGAAGATAAAATATAATGTCACAATGATATAAATAATAGGTATGGACATGGCAAATGAGAAAAATTGAACGCGTAGTTAAATTGACGGGCTTGGGATTTGTCGAAACTTTATTGGGCTGACCTTGAAGTAATTAGGAGTTGATGGGCTTGCGGTTTGTCTTCGAAGAGGATAGGGAAATTAAAGGGAAATAGTAGAAAATAGGCCAATATGAAAAGTTTATAAAAGTATATAGGCCAATTTTTAGTTATAGAAATTAATAGATCATAATTTGTTAAGTTATGGTTCATAACTAGATAAGTTATGAATAAATTTGTCAAGTTATGGTTCATAGCCAGACAAGTTATGGACAATTATGGACAATAATTTGTCAAGTTATGGTTCATAACCAAACAAATTATGGACGAAAACAGTAATTTGGCTTATTTATTAACTTATGTAAATTATTAGCCTATTAATTTTAATTCATCTCAAGTCTTAGCCTATTTATCTCTTTCTCCCAAAATTAAATTATATAGAAATTGTAGTATAGAGCTATTTTTTAAGGTTAGAGTAGTAAATAGCATAATTATTTTAATTAGTAGTTAGCAAATAGTAGATTCTTAAAAATCTGAATTTGTTTTTCCATTTCACTCTTTTTTTATTTTTATGTCTCCCCTCTCTCTTTCTTTTACGTATCATTTTTAGACTGGTTAAGTTCTAATAATATTAAAAGTGCGTCTATTAACCTTCTTCATTCTATTTTTCACACACTATTATTTAATGCAATTTGTTATTACCAAATTACTCATTAATAAAATTATTTTTAATGGAAAAATTATTTAATAAAGAATACTCAATTCACCATAAAAAAGATTTTTTTTGCTATGAAAAAAAAAAGACTGGATAAGTCTAAAATAGGATTTACCAGAGAAATATCATAAAAGTATTTGGTTTATTATAAATATGAAAGTTCTCACGCTAAGGTAAATATGACGTGAATATGGGGTTGTTCTTTTACATTTTTGAGTTAGGGTGACTTGAGTGATAATTTTGAGTTGAGTTTGAGTTATAACTTGAGTTGAAGTTATAATTTGAGTTGAATTTGAGTTATAACTTGAGTTTAAGTTGTAATTTGAGTTTGTGTTTGGACGTGCATATTTGAGTTATGATTCAAATAGATAGTTTGTGTTTAGGTGGGTCAAAACTTAAATTTATATTTATATAGTATTTTAATAAAAACTCAATAGTGACGAAAATATTTAATAGGGTATATGGGTGGGGTTATATTCATTTTTTCGTTGTGAATGCATAGAAAAAAAATCATCTCAATCAGAATTAAAACAAAAAAATTATGACATTTTAAAGAATATAAAAATATTATTCGTTAACATGAGTTCAAATTTATGAACTCGAGTTGAAAGAAAAACTTAAACTCGAGTTTAATACTAAATTCGAGTTCAAACTTAAATTTTATAAAAAAATACAAACTTAAATAAAATTGTAACTCGAGTTAAAATTTATTTTAAATTTCATCATAAAAGAACAAGACAACAGTAGCAAACAAAAAAAAAAAAGGCGTGTGAAACTTTTTAGCGTGTGAAACTTTTTCTTTAAAAGGTCGACATCTAGAAGGGCCGGTCAGGTGGCTGACTTTAATATTTTTGAAATTAAAATAGGGTCTGTCACCTTATATTAATTATCTAATTATATGTTGGAGAGAGAGTGGGAGAAATAATAATTAATTACCAAATAATGCCTTCATTGAATGTTTCTTTTCTTTTAATATATGCATGACATCTGTACTCCTATAGAAAGAGACTTCCATTCAATCAAACGTTGTTTAGTTAAGACTAGCAATGTCGTTTAGTTATCCAAGTACGGAATGAAACGTATGACAAATTGTCAATACACGTATTGCAGTCACATCATAAAATTGAAAATGGCTTTATAAGGAATACAGCTACCACAGAAAACATGCAATTTTAGGTTTGACAATATTATGACATGCATATATTGAAAATCTGTAGCCATAAAATATATATACAGTTGCTATACAAAATACGTCATTTTTAAGTTTGACAACATTAGCATGCATATTGATCAAAATGTGTAGCAATTAATAATACGCGGACAACAACTACCTTATAAAACACGCAATTTGAATATATTGACATGCACATTGAAAATCTGTAGCCATAAAATACACAAAACGCGTCATTTTAAGTTTTGACTATATTAACATGCATATTGGTCAAAACGTGTACCAATAATACGTGGAAAACAACTACCATATAAAACATGCAATTTGAATATATTAACTTGCATATTGAAAATTTGTAGCAATAATATATATCTTCGGTTGCTATATAAAATGCGTATGTGATCATTTTAAGTTTGACTATATTAACATGCATATTCATGAAAATCTGACAAATATATATACATATATATATGTATATCGACAGTTGCTACTTGCTATATAAAACATGTCATTTTAAAGTTGACTAAATTAGCGTATATTGGAAATCTGGTAGTTCTACCTATACACTCTTTTAAAGTTGACAAAAGCATGCATGCATATTGATATTGGTACCAAGTATTTCCCGAGAACGGAGAAACGATACAAACATTGACCATTCTATTATTTTCTTTTTTCTTTTAAATCTCTCACGTACCTTTTTTTTTGTTGCTTATCATGGATTTATACCCTAAATTTTTGCCATC